CGGGCCGAGGCCCGAGGGGGGGTGGGCTTCACAGAGCCCGGCGGGCTCCCCGGGCCCGGCTGGGGCTGAGCTTCTGCTGGGGGAGGTGGGCGTAGGGCTGAGCTTTTCCTGGGGAGGAGGCCGTGGGTGTGCGGCGAGGACCCTCCGGGCATGAAACCCCCCTAAAAGGGCAGTTGGAGGGGGCGGAGGGGGGACTGGGTTGCGTTAGAAGGGGTGCTGCGATGGGGAGCAGAGGGGTCGGTGCCAGGGGAAGCTCGACTCTCCGTTCCCTTGCGTTTCCAGAGCCTGAGCCGTGCGTCAGGTCGCCTGCCTTGGGGGTGGCAGTGGTTCCTGGGTCCTCAGACTCAGCTGCTGGGGTGCAGAGGGGTGGGGGGAGCCGAAATAAATTCTTTCGGGCAGGACCGTGCTGGGGAAGGGGGAGGATAGCATCTCCTGGGCGGAGGCACCCTCTTCTCTGCTGCATCTGGTGTTGGGCAAGGCGAAGGTAGCTCGTCAAAGCCATTTGGCACCTGTGGGAGGCAAGATACTGCGGGAGCGTAAACATCTTCTGGTTAGATTCGGTTTGATGACTAGAACCGGGGCCGGTAAGAGTCAAGGGAAAGGTCTTGAAGTCCTCTGATGGCTGAGAGTTTCTCTTGCTCCGCCGATTTAAAATGCGAGCTGAATCAGAAGTATGCCGCGTTGGAACTGGTGCCGTCCTCATCCCCGCGGAGGGATAGTAACGAGGGGTGGAAGCCTCGTCTGGGATAAAACAGGGCACTTTTTGTTCTTAAACCTGTGACTCTGCCTCCTCCCAGTGTTTCACAGGTCTGGCAGTGTTCTTGGGGGAGTTGAGAGCCATGTTCCCCTTTCCACAGGCCCCAAACCAGCTTCATCACGCTAGTTTGTGGCTGGAAACCAAAATGACTTTCTCAAAGCCTTGAAATTTACATTTGGCAAGATCCAGCCGTTCTTCCTCCGCTTCCCTGGTAGAGCGTGGCCAGGCTCTTTACTTATTCTAATGCAATATGCTGAAGCTTCCCGGTCAGTGGGACAGCACTTGTCACCCAAGTCGCAGCAAGGAAAGAAGAATCCCACGGGAAGGCTTGCGGCTGAACCACGACTTCATTGGGCGCTCTCGGAGTGTCGGTGTTTTGCACCTTAAGCCCAGCTGCCTGCTACCCCACTTCTCTTCTAGGAGTACTTAGGGCCGGATTGCTGTGCACCACCGTAAAAGGAATTTATTTAATTATTGCTGCGGCGTTGATGAAGTATCATCCAGTGGGGATGTCTGTATGCGCTCGATTTTCTGGCTTCTCAGCTGTGTCCTTTGGGCAGCTTTGAAGACAGACATCCAATGTACCCAGTTTGTCTTTGCTCACCGAGTGAGCAGGCGTGGGGGAAGTCGTACCTGTCGGTCCGATAAAGCCAGTTTTGTGAGGAAGAAGAGAACGCTTGGGTCTTTATTGGTTGTGGCAGCCGTGGTGCCTCGGCACGGGGCTGGGCGTCCGGGGGCAAGACCCCTGGGTGTTTTTCTGTTGCTTTGGGGCTTTCTTTGAGGTCTTGATCTTCTCCCATGCCTGCCTGTCTTCTGAGCTGAGAAGGAGGAGCCGGCTTCAGAAAGCTTGAAGGGTTTCGAAAGCATTACTGAAGAGAAAATATGCAAGTAAATCTCTTCTCCCTTCCTGGTGGAATAATTGCTATTGTTCGCTTCTCTGGCTAGCGAGGTGTTGGCTAACGCGCGTTTCCCACAGGATTTGAATTCTGGTTGTGACAGAGCCTCCGCCGCGTGACGTGTGTGATGTGTGACGTACGTTCACCTTGGCTGATCCCTGACGGCGCAGGCTTTAAACCTCGGATTTCAGCCCCACCTCCGGGAGACGTGAGGCCTCTCCGGGTGGTCGCCCTCTGCCCCAGGCAGCGCTTGGGCTTTGAGTAGGACCCGGTTCCTCTGCGGCTTCTGGAGAGGACGGGTAGAGCTGGAGGTGACGAGCGCTGTGAGGCGAGGAGAGCGATCCTGAAATGGTGCTGGAGGGGCTCAGCCGCCGTGCGTTGGGTGATGTGGCTGCGGAGGAGCTGCCTGCGCCAGGGTCCCGCCGTGCCTATCCCCCTCCCGAATGTCTGCAGCGCTTGTGTTTAGCGTCCTGCCAAGAGGAGGCATTTGCCGGCCTTGCCGAGTACGCTTTCCCCGGTGTAATAACGAGGCCCTGAGCAAACACTGGGTCAGAGCCGTAACCGGGGCTTTTGTTTTTGCCCTGGGCAGAGGCCGGGAGGGCAGCAGGATCAATTTTGGCCGGACCGTGGCAACGCATGGCTTCAGCTTAAATATCTGATGGCCGTAGCTGTGCCTTGCTTACCTGGCAACCCCTTCCGATGCCGGAGGAGCAGCTCCACGGAAGGCAGGGCGGCAAAAGGAGGCCAGTTGTTGTTTTGGACATGAGGTTTTGCTTTGCTCCATGGTAAACCTTAAACCACCTCAAGTCCTGCCACAGCTTTTTGGGGCGCTGTCACCCTCAGTGGCCCATGGTCCGCTTTGTTATTGGCATTATCCAGCGTAGATAAAGGGGATATGGATGATTTTGAAACCCTTCCTGGGCCAGGCAGGCAGCGGTTCCCCCTCTCCCTGCCTCAACGCGTATTTAATTCGCTAGGGAGACAGGCAAAGAGGTTTTCTCATTTTGCTGCTTTTGCTTTGAAGCAGCATCTGCCAAAAAATGCTAATGTGGGATTTCAGTTGTTTGGTCCTTTGTGCCTTGGGTGCTGCGGCTGCTTTACAATTACCGGTCCGAGTGAGTTGAGAGTTCATTGTCACCCTGGCTTCAGGCCCCTCCCTGGAGTCCACAGACAAAAGAATTGTTCTCTAAAATGGCTCAGTCACTTCTGGGGACAGGGAGATCATCCCGACATATCTGAAGGGTGCCGAGAGCAGGGTCCCGAACTGCTGAGCCCTTAATGTAGGTGTAAAACACCCAGAAAGACCTCCCCCC